GTGACGGGGATTCGAACCCGCAACCCTCAGATTGCGAGTCGAGCGCCCTAACCACCTGGCCATGCCGGGCGGTGGAATCCTTAGTCCTGTAATTTTACCTCGAAGTATCTTAGGACAATTTACCCAAAATACAAACGTAGTTTTTAATCTAGGAACTTAAGATTTATATTTTGGAACTGTTCCAAATAACATGTTGCTGAGAGGTGACACCCACACTAACGCAAATAGATTAGTTTGTTTTTCCTTGAAAACAACTATAATTTTGTAATAAATATTAAATGAGTAACTGAGATTAGTTAAATATTTGCACAAGAAAAAACTATATGCAGATTACGACGAGGGAAGTTTAAAATACATCTGAATGAGAGGTATCTGATTAATACCCGCATAGCGATAGGTATGTACCGCCTATAAAATATGACCCCTATTCGTTAACTTCACCAATGAAAGATAGTGTTCAAGCTCACAAAGTCCTATATTAAAAACTATCATTAGGGCTTCTGACTGTCGGTTTTAACCGATAAAACACCCCAATACAAAAAAAAAAAACAGAAATCGGTTTTTAGCGCATATTCCACACTAATTTCTCTTATGGGAGTAATAACACGTACAAAACATAGTTCTGTTCATATTAAAGATTTGTAATAACAGCTAATGTCTTATATGAAATTATGAAAACAAATGTAGTCCGTATGAAAAGAGTCAAGTCTCACGACCACAGTAATTCGAGAAAGTGGGGAAGGATGAATAACCATTTCCTGTATTTATTGGGGAAGGTATTAGTACACTTATTACAGTATTAAAGGCGAAAACTCTGAAAAACACCGATTTTAAGGTGTCTAAATAAAACTTATAAAACAGGTTAAAATAAACATCGATTTGACAAAATATATACATCGAAAAACAGAACGTCTAACTAACTATTTTTCACCGTCTGTAGTGTGTTGTTGGAAGGAGCATAAATGTAAAAATAATAAAACAGGTTTCTACGACCAGACCACTGTAGGTAGTGAGTGAAACTTATCAATTGGAATTTTGCATTCCAACTAACATAATAGTCTTCCACTAATGTGAAAAGTTGAATAACACTGAAGATGTCTATGGAGCTAGAAATTATTAGTATGAGAAATATGAAAAATGAAAATTGTTTTCAATTGAAAAAAATTAAAACTTGTCCATTTTTTACTTGCTACGCATTTTTGTTTTAGGCCTTGCCGTCTGAAACGTTGTTAATCATCATCAAAGGTTGTTTTTCGTCTCTCTGTCTCTTAGATATTAAAATAAACATAACTGTTTAAACTTTATAAAATTTTATTTATTTATATTCCAAAGAAAAAAACATAGATCCATATGTAGAAGTAACAATAACACATCGAAACTTGCGCAGGCGCAAAGATGATTTATTTTTTTACTTGTGCTTGTACTTCAAGGACGAGTTGTTTTTCATCATTACAAACATACAGTTTAAAATGCAAGGTACGTCAAGCGACGTCAAATAAATAACATGAAATGAATGTTCCCAAAGAAAATATTCCGTACTAGTGTGTGTTAGTTTAAACTGATAGTTATGCTTTTTAAACCCATCACCAACAAGAACACACATCACTTTTACAGATTCAACGAAACAGGCAAACTTAACTAGCTTAAGGCTAGTTGTGTGAAGTGAATGGTTTGTGTTTTTTCTCTATTTTTTTTTAGCTGAAATCGGTAAAGGAGTGAAATAATTCCTTAAAATCACAAGTTATCAACAGTCAACTAAGGGTTGGATTGTCATGTCACACACAGATTTGAAATTATTAAATCAACCATATCACAGGGCAGCAAAGCCCTGAAGTGGTAGTTTGAAAATCTTGGATAATTAATTAATCAGAAGTTTATGATAACTCGTATGAATTATGAATTGACAACTTAAGTACACTTCGTTAGAAACGGATTGGAGAACGTTCAAAACACTACTTATTGGTGTTTTTCTACTGTTAAGTCAGGACTGACATCTCTCAGATTTAACGAACACGTACATTTATTAATGATTGCAACGTTCAGTGTTTTGAAATGAAGTACTTTGCCTGAGGAAAACAAAATACGTTGTGTAATTTATTACAACTTACGGTTTAGATTTTGATTACTGTTTTTAATTTAGGCTTTTAATTTAGTCTTTATGTATGTATATATATAGTAGAGCAATATGTCACAATGGCCCGGCATGGCCAGGTGGTTAGGGCGCTCGATTCGCAATCTGCGGGTCGAGGATTCGAATCCCCGTCCCACCAAACATACTCGCCCTTTCAGCCGTAAAGACGTTATAATGTGACGGTCAATTGCACTATTCGTTGGTAAAAGAGTAGCCCAAGAGTTGGCGGTGGGCAGTGATGACTAGCTGCCTTCCCTCTAGTCTTACACTGCTAAATTAGGGACGGCTAGCATAGATAGCCCTCGTAAATATTATTGTTGTGTGTGTTAAAAATAGAAAAATGTGTGTATCGATTTTGTTGGCAAATATCATAAACTGACTATATATCGGCTTTAATTTAACTACTAAATCCAAAGTACAAGTTAACTATTAAATTTAAAGTATCATTTAGCTCGGTTTCAGACCAATTTGAAATTCTAATACTAAAAAATCAAAATAATTTAATTTTTCACATATTTATATGATTTAAGTACGTTAGAGCTTTAATTACTAATAAAATTAACATATTTTACATGATTTACCCTGTTGGAGCATTTGGGATCATATTGTTATTTTTCTCGAATATACATCAGCTAAAGATAAGAACGCTGCATTTCATTCGAATGTCTCGTATTTTTGGCAACAACACTGACCCAGAAAGTGGTATCTTTTAAAACCTCCTCTACGTTGCGCAGATATTATCCATTAATCCAGATGTTTCATTCCTTCCTAAGCAAGGCCACATTCCAATGGAATCTTTTTTTTTTAATGCCCCAATTATAAACATCGAAAAAGAGAGGAATCAGAGACAGTTGAAAGCTTGATAGTGCAGTGTAATATAACCTTCGATGTATATTACAATTTCAAACAAATTAAATATTTATTTTCAATTTGTTTCTATTAACAGTTTCAAGGAGGTTGCAAAGCATATAAACTACGGACTACTTTGAACACAACAGGAAAGAGGAAGTAATAACTTTAATACGTGATATCAAGTACTTACAGAAATATACTAAACAAAATTGTTTGAACATTCGAAACACTACTACTACTATGACTTTATCACAGAGTTTGAGCATCAAAGCTTTATTTGATTAATCATAAACTTTTATAAATATATTTCTTCAGTCAACCACTTTACACATGAACATTAACGTAGACTTTTCTTCATAGTAAATAAAACTTAACACTCTCAAGAACTACTTCTTTAGAACTAAGTCATATAAATATTTTCTGTCCACACAGCATTACAAAGTTTAAGTCCAAATCCAAGTGGATACCAAGTGCGCAAATGACATTTTTAACTGTAAAATACTGCATTAATCTAGCCAAACACAAAACAAAACTTTCACATAAAAATTGCTCTAGTGTCAGTAAAAGGTAATTTTGGAAATGCTTATCATATTACTAATATAGTATTATTTGCAGAATACGAGTTAGATGACTGCTGTGGTTATTACACTAAATAAAATAATTCGCCAATTTTTGTTGATTAATATAATACTAGTTGCACATTAAGTTCTAATTTTAAAATCATCGAAATCACTATTTACTTGTGTATATATTAAGGCTTTATACACGAAAATATTATGCTTTAATCAACATCGTAAAACAATCAAACTCCTGAAATGGTATAATACTCTAAACATGTTTGCAACTTTTAAAAGTGAAATACTCAATATCTGAAATCACGTAGCAAAATTACAGTTATGTTGTAACTTGCGTATATAATTAAACGCACCAATAATATGCAGTGCTTTAAAAAACAATGTAATGAGCAAAAGTAACCATTAACCAATGATATAGATAGATAACGCAAAAAAGCACAGTTTTGACCAATGGTGTTTATAAAGTACTCAGTCTGTAATGTACGCCAGACAAGCAAAACACATACAAAAGATTTTTAAATACACTGTTCATAATTTTAACTACACACAAAATTGGCACATAGTGTTTTAATGGGTATTATAAATAAAATTATATTTAATATTACCATCCTATCACAGCAAGGTATCTTCTTCGAAATTTACCTTACCGATATTTTGTATTCATGTCGAGTAATATCCACTCCAACGATAGTAATAAATAAAGCTTTACAGAAATACTGATTTTTAATACATCCGAGAAACATTCTGTAGAGATTTTACAAAAGTAAGATTTGTTTGTCCAACTGGCAGTGTGTAAGATTTTCTTTGTACCAACAATACTTCATACACAGTCAGTATTTTCAGCTAATTAAATATCTTGGTGTACAACGGATCAATATTATATATACATATTAACATTTTCTATATTCATTCTTTCCAAATTAGATTTCACTCTTTCGTACTGTCTGCTTTGCTAACTTTTCTTACAACTAGAATATCAGTGTGAATGTATTTTAGTGCTCATTTCTAATTAATAACTTACCGCCCTTTCGCAGAGAAATTTATTTAATCAAAATGGTTTATTTATGGCAATAAATTCAGGCAAATACTGCTTCTCGTGAATCCAAACTTTTAGCCTAAGATTCCACTGATTAAAAGTCTACTATTCATTAATTTTTGTGTATATAAAAGGAAAAATACTTTATAAACACTTAGAAGTCGATATTCTAATAATACTAAACTCGTCAGTATTTTTTCCTTATAAAACAATACGGGCATTGCGCATCAAACAAACACATGAACCTCAAGACAGCTAAATTAGAAATAACTCAAACATTTAAAAAAAATTGAAAGAATGAATGCTCTTTCTGTCAAGTTAGCACACAACAATTATATGAAATACGGAAGTATACGAAACCATATATATCTAACTGATAAAGCAAGCAATAGTTAATGATAAAATGTTAGTTTAGAAAATGGGGCGATTTTAAGCAGGTGGAAGAAATAAAATGAATGTTAATGATTATCACGCACATTTGAATGGAACATGAAAATAAACCGATTATATAATTTTTTTTTGTCTTGATCAACAACTGAAACTTGGGGAAGTTTTTTCAGAAGATGGTGTCCTTGAAAGGTTTGTAGGAGATACCGGAGAATTAAGCACACTGTTTAAGCTGTTGAGTAGGAGGTTATGTCCTATTTGGCAGTCTTTCTTAAGAGTTTTATTAACACTTAGAGCCACAGATGCCTGTAAAGAGATAACACAAATATGTTTCTGTAATAACATAAATTAGATATTTTCATAAGTATATATATATATATCATAAACTTGTACTAGGCTGCACAAATAAATTTTATAAATATACATAACAAATTTTAGCGACAACGTATTGATAGCTATAAGTACAAGGTTCTAATGCATTAATTTTATGATTAAATGCGTTTATTGTAAGCTGTATATGCCAAAAACGTTTTTCATTAAATTTACATTTATTGTTCAACATTTGTTTTATTACATTTGTATGGTAAAATCGTAGATTAAGATATGGAAAAAAAATCAATTAAACCCTGCTTCAAGAGTCAATGTCGAATAGATATTAAACTTAAATTAAAAATCACACGAAATTTACAGCTAATGAACTAGTTATCAGGAATCAAGATGCTAATATAAGATAAAACTGATATGAATTAGAAGTTATTTATTCATTTACTATGCAAGGTGATGATTGGTATCGCAAACAAAGCATTAAATTTAAAACAAAAATCTATATGATATTTAGTAGTCACCTACATCACCAAACTAAATATAGATTAATGTATTTAATAAATTCTCAAAAAAAGACAACCAACCTGATCACTCCAACCTTTTCCATACTTCCATTCTGTCACATAGTGTTCACAGTTGCTCGTTAGAAGGTTATACTCCACAACCTTACCCACGAAAGCTCTTGCTCTGGCTACCACCTGATTAGGGGTAAGGGGTGTAAGGTTACGCTCTTTAGCTGGAACCTCTTTGTTATTAACTCTAACGCGGCTAAATCCTGCAACATCTATTAATTTTTCTAACTTAATTACACCAGTTTCTGTTGGAAAATCTTCGTTGTTCATCCCACAGACATGAATGACATTATCGTCACCAGCGTAAATTGCCCAATGGGAAAATAGAGTACGATCAATTTCAATAATGTCACCCAGTTCAGCTTTCAAGTTAATGGCTGGATAAAAAGCTGTCAAACCGAAAACATCTGGGTTAAGACGGAGTTTACTTAAATGTTTAACCTTTTTCTGAGGCATTGCTCTAGTCTTAAGGTTAGACACTAACTTGTTTCCCTCATCCCAAATCATCTAAAATTAACTTACTACGTCGTGTTTATCCAGTTGCGTAAACTTACAACTTGTGATCATAGAAGCTTTCGCCCCTTGTGTAACCGTGGAAAATTCCCCGATCGGAGCTTATTCGTGGTTGGTGTAGCAGAATATCACATGATCCAAACTAACGAATCGAAAACTTTTATTGTACAGCTAATGTGTGGGTAGAATGATAAACCTTAATTTATATGCGTGTTGTGCTTTTTTTAGTCTGTTTGTTTAATCAAATGAAAAGAAAACAAACCACGACCGAAAACACTTTTGGCTCTAAGGAAATGCCCTGCTCATAATAACACTAGATTAATTACATCTACGTCCGTTGACACTTTCACTGACAAAACTATTCCTGCCTGTAACCTGATACTGTACTTGCTGCATCTAAGTTTAGATGAAGTGCACTTGCTTTACATGAAATGGAAAATTATTAGCAACTTTCGTATGCAAGCTGAGGCTCTTACTATTACATTACAACATTTGCATGTAACGAAGAAACTCAAGAACCGATTTCTTCAAGGTTTAAGTTATGGTACAGACCTGTTCCATTTTCGTTCAAGTCGCTACCAACGGGCAGTGATATCATAAATAAAGGAATTAAAAATGAAGTGCTCTTAATTTGATTGAACATTTCGTTGTCGTTTTAAACGAGAAAATGGATTTTACCGTGAAAACAAACTATTTTATTAATACGTTATTATGGATGCTGAAAACTCGATAAATGTGAATTTTGCAAGCAAGGTACTTCAAAATCTTAGTACTGGACTCCAAATAATTTTGGAGGCTTATTGTATGTTTCAGTATCTTAATTATTACAAGGGGTCGTGTGGGAAGACCTCAAAGTGTGAATAATTTAACGAGTTCGTTGTAACATACTGAAATGTATACCTAATTTGGTTGTTTTAGAGCAAAGCCACATTGGGCTATCTGTTGTGTCTACCGCAAGGAATCGAACCCCGGATTTTAGCATTGTACGTCCGTAGATTTACCGCTGTCCCATCGTGGTACTGAAACGTATGCACACAGCTTACAATAGTATTTATCCAATTTGGCAGAATATTCGGACTTAGTCATAGTGCCCTAATTGAAAAGACAGATTTACAAATATTACCGAATACTACATAACAATTTAATTTGGTTAAACTATTAATACAAAAATTTTTAATCATCTGCTTTTGGTCAACAAAAACCTCCGTTGTGAAAGTTTAATTTAAAAATTTCTAATTTAATAGTAATTTAATTAGCTAGGCATTTTGCTTCTTAATTTGTATCAAGTCTTTGAATATAGAATTTATTATTCACCACAGTTGTAGTGTCTCATTGATTTTGCTGTACTTCTAATATTAAAATGCTCCCCAGTGGCACAGCGGTATGTCTGCGGGTTTCGATACCCGTGGTGGGCTGAGCACAGATAGCCCATTGTGTAGCTTTGTGCTTAACTTCAAACAAACAAACAATCTAATATTAAATCTTTTTTTCTTTTTTCTTTCACTTATCTAGGCCGTACTCAAAGAAAGAATACATCCCCTTCCCTCGGTGGGTCAGTAGCAAGATTACGGAATTACAATGCTAACACTCGGAGTTCGATTTTCCGCAGTGGCCAAACAATGATATCTTATGCACACAATTGGCTAAACGGTCATGTGAGAGTCTCCTATGATTTAGACATAGTTGTCCCTAATTTTGAATTGCGGATCAGAAGAAAGCAGCACCTGCTGCATGATGTGGCTATACCTAACCAAATAGTAGGGTTGGCTGTCACTTTTATAAATCACTAACAACTGTTGAAAATGCGGATCATGTTTAATAACACAACGCCTCGAACCTGAGATCCTTATATCCCTAGTTCGATATGCTTAAGTCTAAACACTAGGCCACTCTCAGGCCCTTTTGATTACCAGAATTAATCTATATTGCCTGACATATGGAACAAAAATAAAAACATTAAGAGCAAATTAGGGTACTTAAGTCCTCAACATCTCAGTTTTAAAGCTATTATTGTGGGAAGTTAGTTGCCTATGATGAAACAGAAAAACAAGGAAAGATATATATAATATTAAAGCCCATTACTACAAATTTACTACTGCTAGAAGTGGTAAGTTTGTTTGCCTTTTTTAAGCACAAAGCTACACAATGAGCTATCTTGTGGTCTGTCCATCATGGCCATCGAAATCCAGCTTTTTGCGTTATAAGCCCTCACACCTACCCTTGAGCCACCTGGTGTAGAGAGATAAGAAAAGCTTAAGAATCACGTGTTAGAGCAACATAATGAAACCTAAAGCGTGCAGGTGAATAATATAATAATCGAAAATGTAATTTACTCTCCAGATTTAAAAACAAAATATCCAGTATTGTTACCCAAATCCTGTGTTATGACTTGATAAAAAATATTTTTTTTACATAAATCTTACAATGTACACTTATTTTTTTTTATGAAATATTATATTAGTATATCAATCAGTAGCGTCGAGCTCATAAGCCTCGGGTGGGAAAGGTCCCCCCCCCACCAAATGCTTTCCATACATTTTATTAATAGTTCCAAACATATCTACAATCATTTGATTAAATATGTTCAAGATATTTGTCTCTATTGGAAACCAATAAGTTATTATATTATTATTATTAACCCACTACTAATAACAAAAGTACTTTGTTTTCTGACTATGCTCTCCAAAATAATCTAGCTTCATGTCGTAACTGGTGTCAGTTAGGTATATATGTATAATAAATCTGTATCAAAACATTAGTGAAAAACCACGATATATATACATATAGATAGAACAAACTGTCAAAAGTCTTGATATTGGAGAAACTACTTTCGATACAAAAGTGCATCCTTTTCAGTCTCATCTTGTCTGTTTGTTGTTTGTAATTAAGCACAAAGCTACACAATGGGCTATCTGTGCTCTGCCCACCACGGGTATCGAAACCCGGATTCTATCGTTGTAAGTCCGCTGTGCCACTGGTGGCTTTTATCTAACTGTTACGAAAGATATTATGGTCCTTTATTAATATATCAAAAATATTGTTGTAACGTTTTCTATCGTTTGGCGGGTTCTTTTGGACTATTTGATAAAAATAATGCCAAGTCTAGTCCACGTAACGATAACATATTAATTCATTTCTTCAATAACGTTTGCTAAAAGACTATGTTCACTTGTAAACCTAGCTTCACAAACAAACGTTTGAGCAGAAATTCCTAAACTAATGGTACGCCCAACTCATAAATAAAACTTAAGTCACCCTCTTGTAAGAATTTACTCGCTATTCAACCAGTAACAAACACATGAATTAACTCACTATTTAGATTGCTAACTGAACCACTCGTTAAATCACTGAATCTCGATCTTCTATTGTATTCTTATTTCTACATACTACACGAAATTTCTAGATTCTTAATTTTCATGAAATTTCTAGATATTGCATCATGTGTCCTCTAGCAAATAAATGTCTAAATTACAATATTAAAAATATAGTTTACAACACTGTCCCCTTCCTTTCCTGAATTATAAGTCCTTGAACAACCTTAATATACAAATAAAACATAACACTAAACTATCCTTTTGTCAAGTCTTTTATGGCAGTTTTCTTCTCCTGCGTTTATGGTATGCATATGGGACAACCTCTTATCCTTTATCATCACATGACATTCTGTCGCTGAAGGAGTTCTCTCTAGTAGGTGAATCCAATGATGGCTCTATTCTGGGTGGGTTCTCTAGAAGTGGTCTCGACTTCTCATTTTTTCACTAGTTGATGTAGGTCTTTCCCTGGTAAAATCAGTTATGACGTCAAATGTATTCCTTAGTTTCTCTGCGTATACAATGTAATAATCTGCTGAGTGACTATCCTCCAGAAGGTCAAGTGGCACTTTAAGTTCCCTCCCAAACATTAGTAGTGATGGTATGTAGCTTGATGTACTAATGTTTGATAACTCATACGTAGCAGTAGACACGGTAAAAAATTTCACTTGATATTTATAATAAAATCAAAGAGAAAAATTTGGAATATACAAATAAACTAGATTAATTTGATATTTTATGTTAGGGGAATTAATTATTTAGACAGATTAAAGGTTTAGCTATGGTGTCTCACTATTCCCCCTCCCCCTGCTGCTCCTCAGTGGCCCAGCGGTAAATCTGACGGCTTATAATGCTAAAAAATCGGGTTTTGATACCTGTGGTGGGCACAGCACAGGTAGCACAATGTGTCGCTTTTGTAATTAACTACAAACAAATATGTGTGACGTCATGTTTCAATTTGAAATGAATCCATTAAATACTTCTAGTGTTAACCCTTTGATATGGTTAAGATACGTGGATGACACGTTTTTGATGTGGCTGAAAGACAACGACCCATTAATGAAATCTGAAGGACATTATTAGTCCTGATATTCGGCTTGCGCTATACATTGAAAAAGTGGATCTATTACATTTGCTGGATATAACAGTCAAATTGAATAGTGGGTTTCTCTCAAAGTCAGTTTAAAAAACAAACAAACAAAAACAGTTCACTGGTGGGACTTGTTTGTTTGTTTGTAGTTAAGCACAATCTATCTGTGCTCTGCCCACCACAATTATCAAAACCACTGCCCCCCCCCAGGTGGACACAGCAGATAGCCCAATGTGGCTTTGTACTAAAACAAATAAACAATTATTTTTAAAGAAGTTTTCGTTTGCCGTTTCGCTATTATACAACTGATCGTATCTCCCGTGGCTACAAACATTATCTGCCTTTTTCACGTTTGTATTTAGACCACTGAAAATCTGTACTTTTGAATTTGACATAAGATCGGATTTAACTTTCTTAAAACATGTAACTGGGAGTAGAAGCTGAGATTTTGAGATAATTGATATCAATAATTAAAAAATGACATTGTTAACGAGGTTATAAGGAAATAGTGAAGTTGATGACATAAGGGTTTGTCATAATTTCAAGGTATGTGAACAAGAGTAGATAATATAATACAAAATATAAAGATTATACAAATTTTCTCTCAGGGTTATAAGTTCAATAATTATCTCACCGTGACGGAAGTAAGAGATAAAATAGAACAAGTTAA